TACCCTAGTCCAGAACTAGAGGCTCGTCGAGCGCGGGGGCGGCGAGCAAAGTAGTGAAATGGAAAACGGGCTTAACTGGTCGAATTCTTACAACTGTTATATTGCAGGGTTCGTAGTCTCCAAGACCAAAAAAATTCAAAGACTTTCAAATATTTTTTCTGCCTATTTTCAAAGACTTTTCAAAGACCTTTGAGAGCAATCAGGTGTCGAAAAATTGCGAGTGTAAGCACCATTTTTACCCAGTAATTAGTCCCATCAAATCACATCCTAAAATGGGCCTTTTCGTCGATATTTGCGAAAATCTTGCTTCAATCAATCTATTTTATTAGCTAGGAAATCGTATAATCAAATACTCAAAGAATTCAAAGACTTTTAAAGACTTTCTTCGCTTTTTCACACAATTTAAAGACTTTTCAAAGACCTGCATTCCAATTTAAAGACTTTCAAGGATTTCAAAGACAGCTACGAACCCTGTATTGGCAAGCAAGTTAATGTTGGCTTGGAAATAAGTATGAATGACACAAATTGTTTAATATCTTCACGACATTTACCGTTAATACATTGTGCTGATATTAATTTGTGTCATTCAGACTCATTTCGGAGCCGAACTAAACTCAAAGTTATCGGACATTTTGTCAGACGGCCATGTAAAAGATATTTTAAGGCTTGCATATGGGCCCCATCCGTTACTTACTTGATTTGAGACGGGCATTGTCATGAATGCTTGTCTATATATCCATTCCGCTTCATCGTCTAACTCGCCATCCTCAGAAGGTTTGCTTGCAATCTCACGCAACTAGAGAAAGGGAGGAATATGATTTCCTTCAACAGTTCATTTTGGCGGCATTTTGCGTCATAGTGCTCTTGTAAGGAAGCCAAAAACTTTAAGAATCTTATGTTTTGTCATATGTCTTGAAAATTACCACAAACACATTTTTTAAAATCCAGTTCCCCCTCAGCAATCTGACATCCGTGTTGGCAAAAATGTCGCTTGCTTATTAGCACTCAAAATGACATATGAAATTCCTTAAAGTGCATGCACCTAACCTCAATTTTTTTATCGTTTCATTCTTAAGAACTTCTGAAATTATATAATAACTTATTTTGAAGACTTTCGTTTGCTCACTTTGTTTCTGAGATGTTTCAGTTTGTTTGGTATGCAAATATCCGGAATTTACGTAACAAATGCATAATGATTTAAAGTGAAAGCTTGTATATCTCATTCACTATCGAGTTTATCGAGTTTGGAGTTGTGCGAGGATTACACAGCTATGTAAAACACCATTTAGCCTTTTTATTTCATGATATTTAACTGTACCTTACATTCTTTGATCAGTCATTATTCATGTGACGTAAATTCCGGACATTTGCATATCAACAAAACTGAAATAACTCCAAGACAAAGTGTGCAAACGAAAATCTTCAAAATAAGTTACAACATCATTTCAAAGGTTCTTAGGAATGAGATGTTAAAATAATTAAGGTTAGGTGCACTTTAAAGTTAAAACTAAAAAAGTGCATTACCTGAAATCGTTCAGGCATATCCGTGATACGTATTTCGTTATCTCGATCTGTCAAATGGATCTTTTCCAACTCGCTTGGCTCGTAAACCTACAATGAGAAAATGTACATTCATAGAGCAACACAATGTTTGATTAAGTTCAATATTCAAAAAGCCTTGAGCAAAACAAGAAATATGACAGTACTTAAAATATTGATGAAACAGTGCCTTACATCAAAAATGGTTTTCTTCGAAGTTTTTTTCTTTGCTCGTCTCCTGGGTTGTCCTTCTTCATCACTATATTCTTCTTCGTATTCGTCTGCCTCCTCGTCTTCCGAGTAATCTTCTTGTCCAAATTTCTCAAATTCTCCATAGTCAAAATCCAGGCCAAAAATATCCTGCGCCTCTTGTAATGCTCTAGAAAGTGATCAGATCACGGCTTGCTATAACATGCATAAGTGATACGACCCATATAGCTATATAGAGAACTTCTCAAATTCTCCATAGTCAAAATCGAGGCCAAAAATATCCTGTGCCTCTTGTAATGCTCTAGAAAGTGATCAGATCATGGCTTGCTATAACATGCATAAGTGATACAACTCATATAGCTATATAGAGAACTTCTCAAATTCTCCATAGTCCAAATCCAGGCCAAAAATATCCTGTGCCTCTTGTAATGCTCTAGAAAATGATCAGATCACGGCTTGCTATAACATGCATAAGTGATACGACTCATATAGCTATATAGAGAACTTCTCAAATTCTCCATAGTCCAAATCCAGGCCAAAAATATCCTGTGCAGGGGCGGATTTAGACCGTTGCAACTGTAGCATATGCTACGGTCAGATTTTCCATAGGCCAGTTCTAACATGGATCATAAAATCAATCTAAAATATAATTTAGCAATATTTTGTTTACTTTCCTTGTTTATATTTCAAGGTTTTATTTTATTTAGTTTTATATGTTCTAAACCATTTTATTTTGACAAATTGATGACATTTATAATACGTAACGTTAATTGTTTTAAGAATTCCCGCCCGAAAATACGGTTGTAATTGCCCGTTTGCGGGTCATTACGCAATGGACTATAGCTTAGAAAATATCATCCTTCAGAAATACACCGTAGCGTGTTGCCCATATATGATCAATTTTCGATACGGTCAGATTCATTAAGGTCGAATCTGACCGTAGCGAAAATTGGCATATACGGCATTCTGATTGGTTTGCTACGGTCAAACGTAGCAAACCAATCGGAATGGGGCAAATGCTATAGTTTGCTACGGTGGCATGAAATTGGCTACTGCTCCAGAACGATGGAATATCTGATATTTGTGTTTGGCTCATCAACAACATGATATTGGGAACTCACAATACGGTTGTGCGCATTTCGAAATGAAAGCCGTCGTAAAGCTAAAGGATTTATATGCGTCGAGGTAGAAATAAAATCAGATAGTAAAACGAATCATTTCCAGTCAGGTAAGCCTTATGAATGATAAGAGATGCAAATTATATTTTAATTTGAGTTTTTACTGTATAGTGTTCGCTATTAACTTCGCTTTATTAAAGTGTTTGTGCGCGTATGTACAGTATACCTGCATGTATTGGAATTAATACGCGAATTATGATACGCGCGTATATATATCGTGTTTTATAGCGCGCTAATATTTGTTTGTAATGCGTATATATTCGTAAGATACGCGTATTCATATCATACGCACGTTCATATGATATGCGTATTCGCATGATACACGCGTTTGTAGATGATACGTGCATTTCGGTATTCAATTGATAATGACATGCGTATGATACGAGTATCATACCGATATCGTATGTTAAAATATACGCGAGCAATAGTTTACATTTTGAGATCATTTCGGCTTATTTTTGCTTGAGAAATGAATACAATGAGGACAAATTTAATGGTCACATGCAGTGCTCAGAACACAGGAGGCCCAGGCTCGATTTGCCCGCGCCCGCCTGTGCCTTCCTTATAACGAGGGAAGGACGGAGACATTGAGACCAAAATAGCCCAGACTTGGCATATGTCACACGAAACTATCCTCGATTTTTCGCTTTTAATGCATTTCTTTCACGATTAATCGATATCCCCTGCAAGAATGATACCGTATAACCCTCGGTTTGCTGTGCAAAAAGCGGCAGTCGTTGAACAACTCAAAATACACTCAACCCTGATTGGACAACGTATATCAACAAACATTTCAAATTTTTTTAACAGTACTGTAATAATTTCAATCATACATCAAAACTATTCACAAACGTTATAAAGTGTAAATATTACTGCATGTAAATATAACTGTAGTACGTTATTAATATGTATAATAAATTGCATTTCACATTATTGTGTTTGTTAAAAAAAATTGAAATGTTTGTTGATATTCGTTGTCCAATCAGGGTTGAGTGTATTTTGAGTTGTTCAACGACTTCCGCTTTTTGCACAGCATACCCGGCACGCGGATATATTTTGGCCAATTTTGTTATTCCCTCACGGGTTGCAGAGCGAATTTAAACTCTTTGATTAAAGCATCGTTGTTTTGAGAGTTATACGGTATCATTCTTGCAGGGGATATCGATTAATCGTGAAAGAAATGCATTAAAAGCGAAAAATCGAGGATAGTTTCGTGTGACATATGCCAAGTCTGGGCTATTTTGGTCTCAATGTCTCCGTCCTTCCCTCGTTATAAGGAAGGCACAGGCGGGCGCGGGCAAATCGAGCCTGGGCCTCCTGTGCTCAGAACGCAGGAAATGGCATTTCCGGGCTTCAAATTTCAAAAATTTTCCGGGGGGGCATGCCCCCGGACCCCCCTAGCTATGCGAGGTCTTGGAAAATGCTACGGTCAGATTTTTGGCTGGATCCGCCCCTGCTGTGCCTCTTGTAATGCTCTAGAAAGTGATCAGATCATGGCTTGCTATAACATGCATAAGTGATACAACTCATATAGCTATATACAGGGTGTATCAAAATAAACGCAATTCATCTTTTGTGCTTAATAACTTTCGAAATACTATTTCTAGTTAAACGCTTTTAGGCTTACTTCAAAGCCTGTTCTTTTCTCTTTCAAACAAGCTATTATCCTTGTCTCCAATGCTAGTAATAATTGCACAGGAAAAGATTTAGTAAAACATATCATATTTAGTTGCTGTTTAATTATGCAAGTTTACTATGTTATTGTTTAGTCGGTTTAAATGTTAGAATTTTCTTCTTTAAACTTTAATGTTGTCGTCACTACATCTGGAAAATCACGCAAAAACAAATTAAAAGTATTTTAAAAGAGACCAGGTTGTTTGAAAATCCTAAACGAATGCTAAAAATGTCAAAACATTCTGGTGTCTGAGCCAGAGTGTCATCGAATTGCGATGTAGCTAATGTAAACAGAAATTATAGCAAGTTGATGTCAGTCAGCTTAGATGGTCCAAGCCATAATTATATCGCATTTGAAGTTTCAAACTGAGTTAAAAA